AAGGTTGGGTACCTTATCCTGATAACACTATGGATACGGCCCACTTTGTAATAGTTACAAATGACTTGATTCAGGTTGTTCATGTGGAGACATGCGAGTGAGGGTATCCTATACAATGAGTTTGTATAAGACCGGACCGCGAAATAATTAATCTTTAGCTGTAACACCGTTAGCTAATAGATTAATATTTCAATAGGATGATCAGGTARCTCGATCTCAATCCTGAGTGAGTTATGGACTCCTGCCTGTTAGAGCTCATCCTTTGATTTGTATGGGTGAGAGTGGCCCAAGTCGCCAACTCAATATACCTACCATTTTGGGAACGAAACCGAGTAGGGAGCTGGGAACATAACTACACAAGATGGAATTCACTTCTTCTTGACTTCAGGGTAAGTAGATGAGTGTTCTGTTAAGTGCTGACTCCGGGACTTGAATAAGGGGCCCCACCCTCTCACTGGCCCGAGAGGGACTTTCGGTTATTGGTTGGACCATATCCGGGTTGTTCATTAGAGGATCACCGGTATTTAAGGTACAAGATGTAACACAGGGGTAAAACAGTAATTTGACCCAATTATGGTTACGAACACTCGTGAAGGATTGACTTACCATCAATGGTAAAAATCTGTGGACGCAAAATATTCTACAGTGAGAAGAGTGCAGCTGTGGCTCTTTAGTGGAGTGACCGACAGTTAATGAATGTTGATTAATTTGGTTAATGAGTTTAATCAACTAATCTCGTATCATTCGAGCTTCTGATTTGTAAGTCCATTAGGTTCCCTTGCTAGATCGTAAAGGATAGTTAAGAACACTTAGTCTTTAAAAGAATTTGAATTGTTCAATTTCATTAAAGGGAATTAAGGTTAATTTTATGAGATTCAATTAATATAATGTATGTTGATACATTATAATATAAAGTTAATTTTGAATTGTGTTCAAAATTATGAGAGAGAAGTATATTAGAATTTGATTCTAATATGGTTGATTAATTTAAGTTTAATTTAATTTAATTAAATATAATTAAATTAAATTAATGTGATTTGGTTAAATTAAATTAGATTTAATTTAATCAAATTAATAATTATTTTGTAATTAATTAAATTAGATTTAATGAAGTATAATTAAAATGGTTTTAATTAAATTAAATAATAAAAAAATAAAAAATAAAAAGGCGAACCACCATTAATGGTGGAAAGTGGGGGATGTTTTCCCATAGTGGGAAGTGGTGACTTCCCCCTCACTCTTCCTCCGTTATAAAAGGGAGGTTCTCCCCTTTCGGTTTTTCCCCCCCAATCATCAATTGTATGAGTTTCAGAAACTCTAGCAAACAACCTCTCTCTCAATCTCTCGATCCCTTTCTCAGTTTTAAGACGGTTCCCACAAACCGAGTTCTTAACTTCAAGAGGATAGCGAGGAAGACTTTGTGGTGGCATTGGTGTCTACACTAAAGATGTGTCTTCAAAGGTATGTATCACTAACTTCCTTTTACTCATGCTTATGTTTTTTTCTTTGTTGTAATTCTAAGACAAGATCGAAGCACAAGTGTTAGCGCGCTTTCGCTGCGGGATCTATCCCTTCAATTAGTATCAGAGCCTATGCTCTACTTTCGATCTTGTTTTGAATAACAAGGAAAAGAATGGTGGGTGTTTTGTGAATTGCAAATAGATGTTTTTGGGTTTTGGCATTAGATTTACAATTTTTCCATTGATTCGATCAATGTAAAAGCCCGTTGTTTTGGGCGTTTAATCCTGTAAATCGAGTCTGTAACTTCGTGTCGTTCGTGGCAAGGAGTTGCTGTGAAAGAGTACTAGAAAAGTGAAGAAAAATCGGAGGAACCGGGCATACAGTGCCTCAGCGTTGGGGGCGGCGCCTAGGCGCCGGACAGTGGCGCCTATGCGCTGCCAGAGTTGCAGAAATTCGAGAGCTCGGGCATCTAGGTGCCGGGTTTTAAAAAAAAAGTTTCTTTTGTTTTGTTTTATTTCTTATAGGAAGCCAAAAACCTGTCTATTTTGCTATTTAATTATTATGCTTTTTGAATGTATACTTAATTAGTTGTATATGTTGCATAAAATATGCCATATAGTTTAAAATCCCACCAATGGTTAACCATGTTCATGCATCATATGTATATAATAGTTATAATGTATGATAGCTTGATTTATTTTCATGATTAATTAATATAAGTGTTGTATTAATTAGATGAAAATAAAGTTGTATTGAGCATGACATTAATTTAGTAGATATAAATGTTATATTTATGTATGTTATTGATGCATGATTATAGTTTCAATTTCTTTAAATTTATAAGTATTATAAGTTTGGTGAATAGAAATTAAAGTCTATAATCAAGAATTGCATGCAAACCCTAGGTCTTCAATAATTAATTTTGAAGGGGTTTGAAAATGATTATATCCTAGGTTATATACTTTTTTGTTTTGGTTTTAAATAGGTTTAAAACGACGAAATAAAAGGTTAATATAAAATATTGCCTATAAAGGAACCTTGTCTAAGGAAGGTTCTGTCTCGGTTGAGGTACTTAAGCTGACCGTAAGGGAACACCTCTACCTGGGAATCGACCTATGGGTTGAGTTAGTCAATATTTTATAACATGCAATGATGTGGTTAGTTCGTTAGAGTGTTTAATGAACTAAAACATTAAGTGTTAAATAAATCAAATATAAAAGTTATATTGGGCAAACTAATAAACTTAGATAATTTCATTTAGTCGGATTTTACCTAAGTAATAACCCTAGTTGTAAAATACTAAGTGGAAGGATTAGGTGTATATATAAAATATACAAAGTATATGAGATATATGTGGTATACATATACATTGTTTCACTCACGTTCTCCGTATAAGTTTACACCGTGAGTTCCATGCTCGACCTCGTGTCACCCTGGGCGTGGCCTCCCTACGGAAGGTGTTTGCATGGTTCAATACCAAGGTGGATGGAGAAAGTATTTATAGGAATTGGGAGAAGGACGTGTGACAATACATCTTGCGGTCTCCTCCATTGGTTTGCAACGTGAGGTTTCATACACGGCCTACGTGTTGTCCTGGAGTGACCATCCCTACGGATGGTCTGTTGTATGGAATCAAAATCAGGGTGAACTCAAGAAATGGATAAGGTCTTTTAGGTTTTGCACCAATATTTTGTTGGGTTTTATGCCCTAAACTCGTGGTTTGTAAAGATAAAACAAATATTCATTCAATAAAGTTGTTATTGATAGAATTACATTAACCCAAATCCAATAAACTAACATCCTAGGTTATGTGATGTAACTGAAATAGTATATAACAGATATACAGAATATATTTAATATACAGCATATATATTTGATATACATGTTGGGTACTCTGTCCTAAAACTCGTAGTTTGTAAACAGTGAATATTAATGTGAGGTTATTCAGACAAATGCTGTTAAATGAAAGTGAATTTGTTTTTTAATAATAAATCCAATAAACTACGAACCCTTGGCTATTATAGTGAGTACTTGGACTTTATGTGGAGACATAAATTGGATCAAGTTCAAGTAAATAGCCTAAACAGTCTATAGTACATGGATCAAGTTGGGTACTATTTCCTAGAGACACTATTGAATACGGCCCGCTTTATGATTGTTACAAATGTTGTAAGGTGTCATAAATGAAGTGATCCTGATTTTCGTGTAGAAACATGTGAGCGGGGGTGTTCTACACAATGAGATTGTGTAAGATTGACCCTGAAATAATCACTGTTACGTATTAACACCGTTTACAGATAACACTGATTAATCTCGCTTATCGATGACTTAAATAACTTGATCTAAATCCTGAGCCATCTATGAACTCCTATTTATTCAAGATTCTCCCTTGATCTGCATAGGTGAGAGTAAGCTCATCACCGCTGCTCAATATGCCTCCCATTTCAGGGATAAGACTGGGTAGATACTTGGGGACATAGAATTAGTAAGACGAAATTCACTCCTACCCGATTTAGGGATAGTAGAGAGGTTGTTCCCTTAAGGGCTGATCCCGGGTGTTGAACGAGGGGCCCCATCCTCTCACTGGCCCGAGAGGAATTGGATTTAGTGATTTGATCCTAAATCAATTGTTCATTAGAGGGATAGTGGTACTTAAGGAGAAAAAATGTAACTCAGGGGTAAAACGGTTTTTTTTTTTGACCTAGCTGAGGTTACGAACGGCCTGTGAAGGATCAACTTACCGATGACGGTTATATCGAATGGACACAAATATATCTACAGTGAGGGGAGTGCATCTACAGGCTATAGTGGACAGTCCTGTTAGTTAACGAATGTTGATTAACTAAGTTAAAGAGTTTGACCGGTTAGTCTCGAATCGTTGAAGCCCATGATCTGTAGGTCCAACGGGTCTCCATGCTAGCTCATAAAGGATAAAATTGATGAACTAGGTGAAGCAAGAATTTGAAGTGTTCAAATTCGGTTTTTAAGAGAATATTGTATTTTATATGAGATATAATATATAATCTAATTGACATTTAATTATTATGGATAGTATGACTTATTTAAATTAGTTTTAAATAAGTTCAAAGCATGAAAAAGAGTTGTAATTTGATTAATGTGATTAATCAAGCTTAGGTGTCAAAGACCAATGAATATGAGATATTGATTTGGCTTGATTTTTGTTTTAATAGAAAATTGATATTTCAATTTTTGTTTTTATAAAAATTAGTTTTATCAAAGTTGGATTTTCCCACTAACTAGTGGTTTTTGAAGTGTTTCTTCAAGGCAATGACACCTATCTTTTACATGCTAGTGAAGTTTGAAGTGGAAGGCATACAAGGCATGTCTTTGCATGCATTTGGTCTTTATATAGGTGATGAAGATCACTTGGATAAGGYTAATACTTACTTGCATAAGTGCAGATTTTTTCCACTYAAATTTCTATTGTCTTCTCCKAGCCATTAGTGTTTTCCCTTTGTTTTCACTCAAAATTCGGTCCCACAACCRTGTTCATCAACCCGAGGATWGCACRGATTTGTCGTTGGTGGTCCCATTGAGTTAGGAGAAGAAGTTATAATGGAAGTCTTCAAAGGTATAAAGTTAATCTTTTTCTCTTTACCTTTTTCATGATTTTTCCAAGCATGCTTATTTTAGTTAAATTGCTTCATTAAGTNGGAAGTCTTCAAAGGTATAAAGTTAATCTTTTTCTCTTTACCTTTTTCATGATTTTTCCAAGCATGCTTATTTTAGTTAAATTGCTTCATTAAGTATATTATGATCCTTAGCTTCCACTGTGCATGTCTAAGAGTTCCATCATGTGGTATCAGAGCATGCTTTTTACACTTATTTAGCTTGGTGGGGTTTAATTCATAAGATGAATTGTTGCATGTACTAAAACGGTTTCTGTTTTGGCATCCCTTCTTTTAGCTTGCTTTTGGTTATTTAATTATTGTAATTAAGCCCTCGTTTTGGGCCTTGTTGTGCTTGATCAAGTATGTAATTTACTTGAGTCATTTAGAGTTAATCGGAGGTTGTAAACGAAGCCGGTTCAAGCTCAAAAGCATGCTGTCTTTTCCGTTACTGCTGCTGTTTTTTGAATTTCCAGCACTTAATGTCACCTTTTGGAGGCCGATTCGAGCACCTTGGAAGGCGGTTTGGGCGGTTCAAGGCTACTTCAGGCTTATTAATGTAATAGCTTAGTTTGTGTGTGCTTGGGATGTCAAAATCAACCATTTTTAGTAGTTGTTCAATTATTTATGCATGTTTGATGTATGTTTTAATTGAAGATTAAATCCTTTATGCATAAAGTATGTCATATAGATTTAAAACCCCACCATAGGATAAACATGGTTGTATTTATGTTATAAGAGTTATAATGTATGTGAATGCATGGAATTAATTTCATAAATTAGATATAAATGTTATATTAGTTTATGACTTTAATTAGTGAATGCATGGAATTAATTTCATAAATTAGATATAAATGTAATATTAGTTTATGACTTTAATTAGTGAATGCATGAAATTAATATCATAAATTAGATATAAATGTTATTAGTTTATGACTTTACTAAGTGGATGCTTGTTTTAGATTTATGTCAATCATATGATTGTTATGTCTATATTTTATAAGTGTTATAAAATCACTTAGACTTTTATAATCTATAACAAAGATAAACTTGCATGCTCACCTAGGGTTAACCGGTGCAAAGCAATTTCTTTCCGTTTAATAGTTAAAATAGGGCAATAACTTATAAAACAAAAGTTGTTTACTCACCCGGTGAGACCTTGTCTAAGGTTGGGGGTACTTAAGTTGACGGTTTACGGAACATCTCCTACCTGGAGATCAAACTGGCGTATGAGTCCATAACCCTAGTTTTATGAGCATGCATGAGAGATGTGAGGTAATAAAATTGGTTTATCACCTAGACATCGTAGGTTAATCCCAGTATAAGAGTTATACTCGGAAAATCACCTAGACTTAGGTTGTATATAATTAGCCAGTATATAGCTTAATAATTACCCAATTTTTATAATAGAACACTTCAAAGGGAGATTAATAGTGTATGAGATACATTATTTATAGCTCTCACGTTCCTAAGAGTTCACACCATGAGATTCATGCTCGGCTTCGAGTTGCTATTTGGGCAACCTCTCTTCGGAAAGTATTTGCATGGGTCAATAACAAGGTGAATAGGGGAAGTAGTTCATAGTAAGTGGGTGAAGGGTGTGTGTCAACACGTCCCATGGTCTCTTCCATTAGGTCACACCGTGAGATTCTTATGGTGCACCTGCTTGGTGTTTATAAGCGCCTATCCCTTCAGAGGGTTGTAACATAGGATTCGGAACACCGTGAACTCCAAAAATGGATAGGGTTACTTAGGTCCGTTTTCAGCAATTGTCTCTCCTTCGAGGGCTTGTTTGATTCCGATCTCTGTAATTCGAAAATGGCGGGTCTACACTTACAAGCGTTGCTATGTGTTAGTAAGTTCTTGACCAAATTAACGATAAGTAAGTACTATAGAGATAAGAGTTACTCTAGAGTTAGTATTTAGTCAAGAATGTCTTGATTCAGTGAAGGAGTAGTCAACTTCCCTTCGGTGGGGGCTACTCTGACTCACTGAAGTATCGTTGCAAAAGTAATAATGAACAGGTACATTATTTCTTGTTGAATAAAATTGGATGGAATAATTAAAAAGTCATACAATTCACTAATAGTTTTGTTCACTTTTCAGCAATGTCTACTTCAACTATACAACTGCTAGCTTCCGATAAACTTAACGGAGACAATTACGGAATATGGAAATCGAATTTAAACACAATACTAGTTATTGACGATCTAAGGTTCGTTTTAACGGAGGAGTGTCCTCCAGCCCCTGCCCCTAATGCAAACCGAACAGTTCGGGATGCCTATGATAGATGGGTTAAAGCTAATGAAAAAGCTCGTGTCTACATTTTAGCCAGTATATCAGAAGTATTGTCTAAAAAGCATGAGAGATTAGCTACTACAAGAGAGATCATGGACTCTCTACAAGCCTTGTTTGGACAACCATCAACAACTCTCATGCATGATGCGGTTAAGTATGTTTACAACTGCAGAATGAAGGAAGGATCTTCCGTAAGGGAGCATGTTTTGAACATGATGGTTCACTTCAATGTTGCAGAAGTGAACGACACAGTCATGAACGAAATAAGTCAGGTTGGATTCATCATGCAATCTCTTCCGAAGAGTTATTTTCAATTCAAAATCAATGCTATGATGAATAAGATTGAATACAGCCTGACAACCCTTCTGAATGAACTCCAACTTTACGAATCTTTGTTGAAAAACAAAGGTTTTGAGGCTGAGGCAAATGTTGCTACTACCTCAAAGAGGAAATTCCACAAGGGATTTTCCTCTNACAGTTCGGGATGCCTATGATAGATGGGTTAAAGCTAATGAAAAAGCTCGTGTCTACATTTTAGCCAGTATATCAGAAGTATTGTCTAAAAAGCATGAGAGATTAGCTACTACAAGAGAGATCATGGACTCTCTACAAGCCTTGTTTGGACAACCATCAACAACTCTCATGCATGATGCGGTTAAGTATGTTTACAACTGCAGAATGAAGGAAGGATCTTCCGTAAGGGAGCATGTTTTGAACATGATGGTTCACTTCAATGTTGCAGAAGTGAACGACACAGTCATGAACGAAATAAGTCAGGTTGGATTCATCATGCAATCTCTTCCGAAGAGTTATTTTCAATTCAAAATCAATGCTATGATGAATAAGATTGAATACAGCCTGACAACCCTTCTGAATGAACTCCAACTTTACGAATCTTTGTTGAAAAACAAAGGTTTTGAGGCTGAGGCAAATGTTGCTACTACCTCAAAGAGGAAATTCCACAAGGGATTTTCCTCTRGGAGTAAATCTGGACCTTCTTATCAGAAGAAAGGAATTCAGAAGAAGAAGAAGGACAAAGGGAAGGGGAAGGCTCTGGCTGCGGTAAAAGGCAAGGAAAAAATTGCAAAAGGAAAATGTTTCCATTGCAATGAAAATGGGCACTGGAAAAGAAATTGCCCCAAATACCTTGCCGAGAAAAGAACTGAGAAGGAAAAGCAAGGTAAATTCGATTTACTAATCATTGAAACATGTATAGTGGAGAATGATGATTCTACCTGGATTCTAGATTCAGGAGCCGTAATCATGTTTGTTCTTCTTTTCAGGAAACTAGTTCCTGGAGACAGCTTGGAGAAGATGAGGTCACTCTTCGGCTTGGATCAGGGGAGCTCATCTCAGCAAAAGCAGTGAGAGGAATTAAGTCGATTTTTGGAAATAGATATCTGTTTTTGGAAAATGTTCTTTATGTACCTTACTGTAAAAGGAACTTGATATCTATTTCATGTTTGCTAGAAAATTTGTACATCGTAAATTTCAATCTTAATGAAGTGTTCATTTTGAAAAGAGGCGTACAAATATGTTCTGCATACCTAGAAAACAACTTATATAAGTTAAAACCAACCAAAGTTGAAGCTGTCTATAATACTGAAATGTTTAAAACAGCTTAAACTCAAATTAAAAGACAACGTGTTTCTCAAAGTACCTATCTGATAAGAAAACAATAGCCAATTGGATCTAAGAACCCTTATGGTTATGCAAACCCCTAGATCACAAGTGCTAAAACCCCCAAATCAAGATGATGTCAACCCAAGGAAGAAGTTAGAACGGATTTACCTTGATGATCAATATCAAGAGTAGAGAAAACTTGTTTCTAAACTCAAGATTCGAACCACTCCACAAGATAGCTTGATCAAGCTACTTGAATGATTCTAGCATGCAATTCTAAAACACAAGAAATGCAAAGGAAAAGCTCATGGCTCAATAAGCTTAAATTTCATTATCTCAAAACTCAAATCTCAAATCTGTATTTTTTCCAAGGGAACAAGCTAGGCTATTTATAGCCTCCAAAACAACCCTTCAAGTAACCTAAAAGAATTGTAAAGGTTGTAACTCCCTACTACATCAATACCATAACCACCACTAACACAAATAAAACTTAAAACACATAAATGAAATGTTTAAAACTGAAAWTACAATTAAACATGCTTTAAATCYGAGAATGAAACTCCTCCACCATAAAACCAAGAGTTTGTAACCCTTCAAGAGTGAATGAAYTGGAGTTTGAACTACTTTCAAGTACTTTGAAATCTTGTTCATTTAATGCATCTTGAGTTCAACTTAGACTTCCATTAATGCAACTTGAGTTTGTAGTAAATGAAGTTGGACTTGTTCTTGACTT